GGACAATCTCGATGTTTTCGACGGGGAGATCGACTGTGCTTTTGCCGACCATGACACTGTACCCATGGGAGAGGTGTGCAGACATTTTCGTTTGAATGAAATGGAGCTACCCTTATGCTGGTTACCCATTGATTAAGCCATGTCCCATCACTTTTGTCCTTTAGAGAGAACATTCACTTTATGCTGGTATGACTGATATGTGGCGCTGTTGGGAAGACTTCATGGGAAGAGTCCATGGGAGTTATCTTCACTCAAATCCAGCAAAACTTGAGATTCCCATAAATTCTAGAAGACAGATACGATGGGTTCTAGAGGGGTTGTCAGGGGAAAAGGGAGATCGGTGCGAAAAAACAGAGAATCCCATCAAGAAACAGCGAAAAGGGGACTCCTTTGCTTGCAACGCGTTCGGTGGCACTATGCTGATCCGCGCGGGTGTGCGTCATATGGCGCGATCCCATTGGTGTTGGAGCGCACAGGCCGTAATTGACACATCCTTGTGGCCGGACAACTCGTCCGCGCAACACATTCTGTTCCGTTCCTCTTGCCTTGGCATCAGGCCAGCGAAGCTATCCGCTCTTTTTTAGATCTTTGGGACTCAGCGAGGTTTTGGAGACCCAAATTATCAGATCGATCAATTACTGAAGTCTAATAGTTGAGTGATGCGGACGAGTTGTCCTGCCACAGCAGGAATGGGGCAATTGCGACATGTGCGCTCTAATGCCAAGCTCCAGTTGTGCCGCTGGTGGCAACGCAGCTCGGCAACAAACTAGTGGCGGATCGCTTTTGGAGTGGAGTCCTTCGAAGTCTGCTCAGCAATTTACCTTTCGTCGCGAAAGCACCACACCTCGCTTCCTTGCCAGTCAAGTAACTGCTTGATGTGGTGGCGCACACCCTTCTCGGGTGTGCACCTTTAGTCTAAAGTGCAATTATGGGGATACCACCTCGCACCTACACTCACCTGCCTGTGGGAAGACCTTGTTAATTGCACTGAGTTGTCTGCTGACCTCTTCCTCTCAGACTCAGTATCGATCATATGAATAATGAACTTTATCACATAAACACGTGTTAAAAAGGGGATTAAAAAACAGTAAAGAAACAAAACAGGAAATACAAAAACACGCCAGTAAATATCAAAAATTAAATAAAGTAAATTTAGTTAATTTGTTGAAAAGCAAGACATAGAAGAATTTTAGGGAAGCATTTTAAATTCAGATATTTTTCTCTGTGCTAGTTTGACTGAATTCATTTCGTGTTCTTAGTGTAGCGTAGAAAACTGCACATTTTCATTTATGACTTTATATATTTTGGTAGAATTCCCCTTTGGAGTGAATTCAAAAAAGCCAACAGCAATGATTTTTTTTGTGGGAACTTTTTGGGAGCTTATGGTGATTAGGATATGTCTTATCCTATCAAGATGCTACTTCCAACAGTTCAACAGGTGATTCTAATGTCTTGGCAAAAAACATCCCGGCCAGCCGCAAAATTCCATGCTAGTAATTTTTTTCAAGCATTGCGATGCTTTGGCTGAAGCGAATTAGAAGTTCCTCAAGTCGCTCTTGAAATGGAAAGATTCAAAAAAGAGGAAAAAGGGCTGCCGCACGGATATGTAGAATCACTATCTGGGGCTCTACTTGGAACAGAGCCAAATTTCGAAAAACCCTCGACGAAACTCTCGTGCAATCGAGGACATACGGTTTTGTAATTACCATTCATCAGGTTGGCAAAGCACAACTTAGCTAACAGTAGATTTTGAATTGTTCAATATGTGCAACAGCGAGGCTGTAAATTGACATTCGAAATTAAAATCGTGCCCTCGGTCGGAATCGGGTGCGGGACTTTTGGTGCGTCCGGGGTTGCACGCGGCGAATTGCGCGGCGGCATGCGCGGCGATCCGGATGAGGACAAGGCTTCGCGTGCTCTGCAGTAGAATTCGAAACGTCAAAGCGTATCAGATTGCGGATAAACACCGCATTGTTCTGCGCTTCGAAAAAAAGTTTCTGCCCGCGGAGATTTGGATGCAGCGGTGTCTGTGAAGAGATTTCAGGCAAAGAAGTAAGGGAGAACTTTCATGGAAACGGCACTTCCATCACCCATGCGATTAAGAAACGCTATAATTAGGAGTTTTTACTGCAATGTTGTTCAGTGTCAACTACATATATTGCGTATATTGCTTTACTGATCGTGGCACTCGTGTCTCTAATCGTAAGAGGACATTCAAAACAGCCGATGGTGGTGACACTAGGACTAAGCCCAGGAGGGGGAGGAACGCCAGGAAGAACACAATTTGCTCCCAGAATCCCCTTCCCCTGAGGCTCAGTTCCAAGCACAGTAATTGGCTCACTCACTGCCTCTCCCAACGACATGACGCCCTGATCGCTGTCACAGCTTTATGTCAGCTCCTTCTCATCCCTTCTTACCAAAGTTTCCTGACCATCACCGCTGAAACTTCGCACGTTGGAATGTAATTGAGTCGCAGAACCTTGCGAAATTTATCCGTTTCACATTTTGACGTGGTAAATTCCACTGCAGACGCCCGCGAGATTTGCATCCGGATCGCCGCGCAGCCGCCGCGCGATGCCGCGTGCCATCCCGGACGCACCAAAAGTCCGTCGCCCGTCAGAATCACCAATTGCTTAAAAATAGGTGAGGTGCTGAAATAATAGTGGGAATTTTCTTTCATATTAACCTGTATCACTTCTCTACAATAAACATTTCCTGACCGAGAAAAATGGCTAAAATTGAGTGAACAACCTAACATAAACTCTTACATTTTGTGAGAGAACGATTTTGGTGTCTACGGTTTCTCAACTTAGTATTGGAAAAAGAAAAACAGTGAAAATAATGCGAAGAGATGAAGAAATGGTTCGTTTCGCCTCAAACTCAGACGAACCATTGTATTCCATCAACCCCCCCGAGGCTCATCAGTGAGTGGAGGGTTGACAGAATCAAGGGGATGATAAAAGGTGTAGAAAGGAAAAAGGAAGATATATAGCGACGTCAACGTAGAAAAGATTATCATGTAGTGATAAGTGCAAACATAGTATCTAAAAAATTTTTTAGGTACACAATAGTTTTAGGATATATTGCTGCGTATCGTTGATACTCAGCCAATTTGAAAATGTGCCCTATGCCTGTACGAGGTCAGCAGACACCAAAGCCAATCAAGTGAGGTCACTCCGCAGGCGATTGCTAGGAGGCATAAGGTGGCAGGTGCGAGGTAGTGATTAAGAGGTCATTTTTGACTAAAGTCCCTCTCCCATCCTTTCTGATGCACTCCCTCTTTATAGGCATGTCGTATCGCAAACAACGAAATGGGTAGGCTTCCTTCGTTTCTCTTGTGTAACCCTTTGACGACCGCGCGCTCTAAACGTGTCTAGCGTGTGGGACCGCACGCCAGACACGCATGTGGCCCGCCGGCGGGCCATGCGGTCCCAGGAGACCGCATTTTTGCTTAATTATAGCAACATTGATTAAATTGCAAACTTTCTTAGGTAAGTCGTCGTACTAATCAACCATACATTGTAACGCAGATGGATTATTAGCAAAGTACAATGAAAAAGACCTCAGAATATTAGTGTAACAGAAGTGTTTTGATAATACTGTTGAAGTTGCAGCTACCGAAAACAATTTGTTTTCTTGCGCAAAACTTGCATTCAAAAATCGACCAGATTTGAATACAAATGCTTCTTTCAAGCTTCTTTCTTTAGTCACTGTGGTGTCAATAACAAGTAACGTTATTCAATAGACGGTTACTACCACACACTGAATTCCAATTTAGTGGCTTCAATTGGAACCTTAGTATAGCTAGCCTTTTGACAGGGCAGCCGTTTGCTGCACCAACCAGAACTCTCACTTTTACTTACATGCTATTTGTATTACATCTAATTTGTATTACACCTAAATGACAATATTTTTCACAAACCAAATAGTTGGTGAAGCCTATCGACTGAACCATGCAAGGAATATTACTAGTGTGGCAACAATTGCAGTTAAGATTACTGCTCCGGTTTTTCAAAACCACCACATGTGCTGTGTTCTTATTCTGTGGGTAATGATGATATTTTTGCTAACATTACCATTAGAAGTGTTTTTAGCCTATTGTTTCTGGATTTCTCCCTAGAAGAAAGCAATTCGTGGACCACTGTGTACATAGCCTTGTTAGGGTGTTGTGAACATATTTAGTAACTAAAATTTCCAAAAATGTCAAAAGGGAGGAAATACAAGAAATTAGTTGCCATGGCCCGCCGGCGGGCCATACGGTCGTCAAAGGGTTAATTGAGTAATATCATTAGTAGACGAACTGCATAGTGTTGTAAACATGGTTCAACTTCGCCCCTTCAGCAATGGACTCAGCTCATATTCGCCGACTTTCTAAGATGCTTGTTGATGGCGTGAGATCGCGACTGGGAGATATCATCCTCAATGGCGATCCAGAGCATTTATACCATGGATGTGTGAATCTTTCATTTATGTTGAAGGTAAGAACAAATTGCACGTTTCCTTTCTGTGTAGGTCGTCTATGATTACTGTAGTAGAATGCAACGTCCGATTCACCTACATACCTGTTTCAGGCGAATCGTTATTGATGGCGCTAAAAACCGTTGCTTTGTCCTCCGGCAGCGCCTGCACATCAGCATCGTTAGAGCCGTCGTACGTGTTGAGGGCTATCGGAACTGGAGAAGACTTAGCTCATTCTTCAATTCGATTTGGTATTGGACGCTTCACCACCGAAAAGGAAAGTAAGAGGCCTCAGTGTCATGTGTAGGCTTCAACTATCACTATCGAGAAAGATCGTTCCGATCAAGCTCAGTAGTGGCGGAAGCTATTGAACGCTGAAGACGTGGAGAAGTTAGGGAACGCTTATACTGCATGGTAATGCTGTGGCGTTCAGGGCGATTGTGAGGGAAGGAAGTAGTGGGGACCTTCTATAGTGCACCTCGCTGTGGTTTAGCAGTATTGCTCTTCAGACAGAGAGAGTGAGGTGAGAGAGAGCTACATATTAAATCTTCATGGTGGGCTTTCAAGAGCAATTAATGCAGTTTTCACCTCTGTTTGTCTGTGCAGTACATATGGGCCCACCCCCACCAGAGGTGAAAGGGATCATGCCTTGCGATGCGCAGGCGATGAAGTTGTATTGCAAGCGCCAAAAGCAACACATCAAAAGTTCCAAATTCGTCACAGATGCCATTGATTTTGGTGAGGCATCAAGAACATTGGGAAATGGCCGTATGATTCCTGCAATTTGTGATTTTTCAGTTTGAGATGAAAATTCTAGCAATAGAAAGCGAAATCCCGTGCTTACTTTTTAGAGTATTCTTCATAATAATCTTACCGCAATCCCACTGCGATTGACTGTGGAAATCAGCAATTAGAAAAAGCTATTAGGAGTCGACTATTTTAGTTAACGGTTCTTTCATGCAAAAAAAGATTACGGTATTCCTTTTTCAGATCCAGCACACCATCGAATTGTGCGTAAAAGAAGTGCAAAGGTTGCGAGAGTTGAGTCCGCTGTGGGAAATGGTTCAAGAAGGTATCGACCTGAAAAGTATTCAATGGACGCAACATTGAGCCCATTCTCTGTCAATGACTTTAAATTTTGTTCTACCTCTTTTGCATAAGCCGACACAGCGGCTCCGTGCTATTGACGGTTGCCGCACCACTATTATTCCCACTCCCAAACAACAATGTGTATTGAGGAATTCACATGTATTTCGATGATGATCTTCGCAGTTTCGTGCATGTTATTGGATGTATCTACATTTTTAATATATCGCATTGCTAGTCCATTGTCATGAGTGAGACTCATAAATGAGCGTAGTATAAAGATTGAACTGTGAAATGGAAATCGAATTAAGGGGTCGAAACTGAATCAGGTACTCCTCAAACTGGGCTCTGCACCACGAGAAATGATGATGTGGGTGGACCTATTTATGAGACCCTTTTGAGTGCATACTGCTTTTACACTGCTCCGCATAATTATAAAGCCACCTATGTTTTCTGCAAAAACTCTTTTCCTAAGATGCGTTCGAAGAAGCTTCTATATGGAAAAGGATGTAGGTATAAATGTTCTTTTGCACACCAGCACAAAGTTCCAGCTTTGAAATTTGAAGAGTGTTTTTCTGCAATTTTTCGAAAAAGCCGCTCTGACCTATTCCGCATAATTATAAAGCCACCCCATACTTTCTCGTTGCCTTTCCTTCCTGCTCGATTGAATTTTTTTGTTGTTATCCACACTTCGTCTTTAGGTGAAAACGAGAGGGAAACCGTCACCATAATCTGAATAAAGGGAAATGGTAACAAAAATCGTGAAAGAGTTGAGAGGCAGTCGCACTGCCCGAATTTCGGGCCAGGTTGCTTCAGAGTAAACAATTTCTTCGAGCATTGTGTAGGATATGGAGTAAAATTGAGCCTTGGAGATCGTCCTTTGCTTTCGGATTCAGATACACGCCGTCTCATGAGAAAACCAAACAGTTCCATCAAGTTGTGCTCGAAAATCAAACCTTACTTGGAATTAATTCTCCAACCGGTGTCTGTTCAGCGTCTGTGGCAGAACTGCAGGTTCATTCGCGAGTGAGAAATGTAAAGCGCATTGTTTATGACAACAAAACATCTCAAAAACCGAGACAGTTTTGTCAAGAAGTGAAGCCGAGCTGACTGGAGTGAGGTCGGTTTTTTACCTGTCATTTCTCACGATACTTCCAAAGTTCTTTATCTCCAGGATACGCTTCTTCATAAGAAGAAGTTATCTAGAGTAAGAAAATGTTTCGAGAAAGGAAGACAAGGCGTAGGAAATGACAGGTAAAAAACCGCCCTCACTCCAGTCAGGTCGGCTTCACTTCTTGACAAAACTGTCTCACTTTTTGAGATGTTTTGTTGTCATAAACAATGCGCTTTACATTTCTCACTCGCGAATGAACCTGCAGTTCTGCCACAGACGCTGAACAGACACCGGATGGAGAATTGAATTCCAAGTAAGGTTTGATTTTCGAGCACAACTTGATGGAACTGTTTGGTTTTCTCATGAGACGACGTGTATCTGAATCCGAAAGCAAAGGACGATCTCCAAGGCTCAATTTTACTCCATATCCTACACTATGCTCGAAGAAATTGTTTTCTCTGAAGCGAACCTGGCCCGAAATTTGGGCTGTGCGACTGCCTCTCAACTCTTTCACGATTTTGTTA